CCATCTTCCCTCTGGTTGAGCTCCCGGTGGCTGATCCCTCAGCGACCAAGGATTATACCTAACGGAAGAAGCGGCGGTTGTCGGGGGCCTTGGGCCCGCTGGGGCACCGAGGGGCGGTCCACAGGATCAGCAGCCTTCAAAGCAGAGGCCCGACCTCCCTTCTGAAGGTCTCTTCCTCCATTCTGGAAGCGCGTCGCCTCCAGAGCACGCAGGTCCGACCTCCCGAAGGGGGGCCGTCGAACCTCTGGGGGGCGGGTCGTGCGCGACGGAGGGGAGGGCAGAGCACGGCGAGGCTCGGGGCTGCGCACAGACAGCCCCTGGAAGTAGCCCCGGCTCCTCCTCCTCCTCCTCCCTCCTCCCTCCTCGTCCTCCTCCTCCTCCTCCTCCTCCTCCTCCTCGTCCTCCTCCTCCTCCTCCTCCTCCTCCTCCACCTGGTCTCAACAGGCCTCCCGGGGCGGTCAAGAGGCGATCTCAACACTCCCGCGCCCTGGGGGGTGGGGGGCGTTCCGCGCCCTGGGGTTCGAGGCGCTGAGGTTGTGCCCAGGGTCACTCGTGAGGCCTGTGGAGACCAGCCTGGACTGCCTTCAAGACTTGTCTGCACAATCCCAGGTCTAGCCAACAGTAGGTGAAGAGGGAGAGAAGGGGGAGGGCGGGAAAGAGGGACGGCGGGGGGAAGTGACCCGGATACTTAGAAATTATTCTCCATGGAAGCAGTGGTTCTGTTCCCGCATCTTCACCTTCTCACACAGGAAAAACGCCACTCCAGGCGAGGGGGAACAGTGATAAGTCAACTTTTAATCGGGGGCGCGAGGGGAAGGGCACATCGCATGTAATGTTTTCGCTGCCGCAACCGATGCGTATATTATGACCATCGGTTGCCACCATTACTCCAGTGAAATTCTGAATGGACGGCGCGAGGAAGGGAGAGAGAGAGAAAGAGAGAAACAAAAAAAAGAGAGAGATACAGTCAGTGGCGATTGCTAGTGCGAATGTATGGCCAGAACGCGGGGACGGCGACGGCGAGGGCGGCGGCGACGACGGCGACGACGTCAGCGGCGAAAACGATGGTGACGGCGACGGTGGTGACGGCGACGGCGGCGACGTCGGCGACGACGACGCTGGCGGCGACGATGACGCCAGTGGCGGCGACCACGACGACGACGACGACGACGACGATGGCGACAGATTACGGTTGCAGCGGCGACGGCGAGGGCACTGGCGAAGGCGACGGCGGCGAATGCGAGGGAAACCCTTGATTTGCCTCAGGTGTTTGAAGGATTTGGGCCTATCGCGAGCATCGCCCTCTTGAGGGCCTCTCTTCTTGTTTAGTCCGCCGTTGCTGGTTGGAAGAGGATGGCTGGTAAGGATGCCAGCTCGACTCGGCGAGCAACCAGGGCCTGTGACAGCGCAGAGTGGTACTCAGGTTTTTTGGGCTCCGCTGCAGAGTGACGATATCCCTCTCGTACACGGATTGCCGTGTGGAGGAGGGACGCAAAGAGACAGAATCCCCCTCGTACACCTTTGTCGCGTGGAGGAGGACTGCGCAGTGAAACAAAAACCTCTCGTACGCTGAATGCCGCGTGAAGGAGGGTTGCGAAAAGACGAGATCCCCCTCGTACACGGATTTCCGCGTGGAGGTGGGATTTTTGGATTGGCTCCTCGCTGAAGCATACGGCTTGTCGAGATTGGGCGGCGCTGCAGCTAGCATGCCATTAGTCAGAATATGAGTCAGAATATTAGTCAGGATATTAGTGGAGGTGGGATGCAGGGAGGGGGAGAAGGAGGAAGGGGAGGAGGAGGAAGGATGAGGGGGAGGACGAGCAGGAGCGTTATCGAAATCACGGCTTACCATGCAACTTCTGTACTCACGCTGGGCTAGTCGCGCTGGCCGAACGATATTTAAACGTGGCAAGCGAGGAGCTCGGCTGCACGCGCTGCCACGCTGGCTGGCGGAGCGCAGCAGGAGGCATCAAGCATGATGACGCATGGCGAAAAGGAGCACGGAGAGGGAGGTCGTCGTCCTCCTCCGCATGGGAAAAGGAGCATGGAGGAGGGGAGGAGGAGCAGGAGGAGGAGGAGGAGGAGGAGGAGGAGGAGGAGGCAGATTTTGGACGTTTCTTGGCCCTCGGGGGAGGGCCCTCGGCTCCACGGCTGGCTCCGCTCGGAGTCCACGTCAGAACGCGCTCGAGGAGCGGCCCACCCCTCGCGTTCAGCTTCCTCCGCCCCTCCCATCCTGACCCCCTCTTCCTCCTCCGCCTCCTCCTCCGCCTCCTCCTCCTCCTCCTCCTCCTCCTCCTCCTCCTCCTCCTCCTCCTCCTCCTCCTCCTCCTCCTCCTCCTCCTCCTATGCTAGCCAGACTGCATCAGGTCGAACGGCTGACCCAGAACATTCTGCAAGGGAGGACTCCAGTGGCAACACCTGCTTGAGACACCGCCGGGGACGGACCCTGCGTAGAGTGTGGAAAATCGGACCAGCTCTCAGGTCGACCCTGTTGGGCGTGACCTGGGGCTCTATTTGGCCGTTTTGGGGGGCCCATTGGGGGGCTGTTTCGGGGCCTCTTTTTGTGATTTGTCGGGTCTCTTGGGGGCCTCTTGGGGCTTCTCGGGCGCTTCTTGGAGTCCCTTGGGGTCTCCTGGGGGCCTCTTGGGCCAAAACGCTCGAATCTTCGGTTCCTCGTCCCCATCTTGGGCGCCGACTTGGAGCGTTCTTGCGCGGTTTGGGCGCCTCGGGGACCGTCTTGGCCCCCTCGTGGGCCGTCTTGGCCCCCTCGTGGGCCGTCTTGGAGCCCTCGTGGGGGCGTCTTCGCGACGGGCTTGGGTGCCTCTTGGGCCGTCTTGGACGCAGTGGAAGCCCAAAAGGCGAACACACCAAAAATGTCAGTTTTCCCGACAGGAAATCGACGATGTGTGCTTATTTGAAGCTCTGTTGGGGTGCCTCTTGGGGCGTGTTCGGGGCCTCTTTGTGTGTTTTTGCGGGTCTCTTAGGGGGCCTCTTGGGGCTTCCTGGGTGCTCCTTGGAGCCTCTTGGAGTCTCCTGGGTGCCTCTTGGGCCAAATTGCTCGCATTTTCGGTTCCTCGTCCCCGTCTTGGGCGCCGACTTGGGGCATTCTTGGGCGGTTTAGGCGTCTCGTGGGTCGTCTTGGCCCCCTCGTGGGCCGTCTTGGAGCCCTCTTGGGGGCATCCCTGACCGTCTTGGTGGGCCGCCTTGGACGCAGTGGACGCCCAAAAGGCGAACACGCCCAAAATATTAGTTCTCCTACAGGAGATCGGCGATTTGTGCTTATTTGAAGCTCTATTGGGGTGCCTCTTGGGGCGTCTTCGGGGCCTCTTTTGGTATTTTTTCGGGTCTCATGGGGGCCTCTTGGGGCTTCTTGGGTGCTTCTTGGAGCCTATTGGGGTCTACTGGGGGTCTCTTGGGCCAAAAGGCGCGAATTTCCGGTTCCTCGTCCCCGTCTTGGGCGCCGACTTGGGGCGTTCTTGCGCGGTTTGGGCGCCTCGGGGACCGTCTTGGCCCCCTCGTGGGCCGTCTTGGGGCCCTCTTGGGGGCATCCTCGACCGGCTTGGGTGCCTCTTGGGCCGTCTTGGACGCAGTGGACGCCCCAAAGGCGAACGCGCCAAAAACATCAGTTTCCCGTAGGAAATCGACGATTTTTGCTTCTTGGGGCTCTCTCGGGGTGCTTCTTGGGGCGGGGGCCTTCGGGGGCCTTCTTGGCGTCGTGGGAGTCGTCTTGACAAGCACCTGGAGCCATCGGAGCGCGTTTTCGACCGTTCCGAAGCCCTCTTCGGGCGATCTTGGACGGCCCCCGGCGCTCCGGCAGGGCTCCCGGCCCGCCAGGCCCCACATTTGTGGTCGGGGTCCCGGCCCCCGGCCCCCGGACCCTGTCCCCCGTTCTATGTGTATAGTGGCCAGCGATGGGCACCTGTATTGTTGAAGCTGTTCTTGGCTGCCCTTTCCATTCCAGAAATGAAGTAACGCGTGATCCTTTGTGTGCAACAGCCTCGCGACAGTAGAGAGCAGCCTTGGTGATGAGGCCCCCAGAGGCCCCCAAGCAGCCCCCAAGAGGCCCCCGAGAGGCCCCAAGAGACCCCCAAGAGGCCCCCGAGAGGCCCCCAAGAGGTCCCCAAGAGGACCCCGTGACGCCCCAGGAGGTCCCAGAAATACCGCCAAGAGGCCCAAAAAGCGGCTCCAAGAGGCTCACAAACAGCATCCGAGAGGCCACGAACGCGCAGGCAAACGCCTGCGATGGCACAATACGGGCCGGCGGAGCTCCCGAACGAAGGAACGAAGTGAACCCCACCCTCCCCCTCAGAAATCGTGGGCGGTAGGGGTAGGGTTCGCATGTGGCCCCCGGGTCTTAAGGCAACATCGTCCCGCAATGCCGCTAACAAAAATGCTGACGTGGCATAGCATGCCGAGGAAACTCTGCACCAATGTGGCGCTCGCTGGTGTTGGACGGGCAGAAGAGCCAGGAGCCCCAGCGAGAGCTCGCTGCTGGATCCGCTTTCGCACAGCGCGAGTACCAGCGGTTCCTTGCCTGCAGCTATGACGGCACACCCCCGAGCACATCTCAGCGTACCCAGCACACCTCAACAAATCCTGGGGTACCTTCGCAGCACACTCCCTCGCACCCTCCGCAACATACCAACACCCCGCTGGCCCCACCCACAACCACCCCTCCAGCACCCCGGGCACCCCCTTTCATCCGCGACATCCCCCCAGCAGCATGCGCAACTCGACGGCGTGCATTCTTCCGCAGGTGGTGCATGACCGATCGGCTCAACGAGGAAGGAAGAGGGAGGAGGGAAGAGCTGGAATCGGAAGACGAGGAAGCTAAGGTGGATGAGCGCCAAGGTGGATGAGCGTGATCATGGCGCCGCCTTCAGCGAAATACGGGCAACAATTTCACGAGGCTGTACAATCAGTCTGCATGACTTGTGCATCTGGACCCCAGCGCTTCAACAGCCTAATCCGTCCCCTCCCTCTTTCTCCTCCCAATTTCTCTCCTTGTTCAATAAACTCCACGCCCCAAGCAAAGCGCACGCGTGCCAACTTTGGACGGCACGTCTCAGGCGGTTGATCGCGCGAATGCGTGGGATCAAGACTGCGCGCGCGGACAACAGCAAACAAACAACAATGCCCTAATCGCCAGATTATGCAGGAAGAATGGGACAGCAGCGGAGACCTAAAGAAGGCGGGTTGGGGCGTCTGGGCGCAGGGATGGCTCCACGACGCCGGGGCTCCGGCGGGGCTCGCCTCTCGTGCGGGGCCCACGCCGACTGTCGCTGCGCCAGCTAATGTCGCCGAGGCTCATGCGAACCACCTCTTTCATGTCTTGCGGCGTTGAGCTGGGGTCGGGGCACCAATCCAGCTCCAGAGACGCGCAGAGGCAGAGGTTCAGGCGGCGCATGTACGCCGAGCGCAAGAAGATGGGCTCCCCAAAGGTGGCGGGAGAGGCCCTATCCTGTCGATGGAAATGCACAGTCTGGGCGAAATCGATGAGCCTTTCCCGCTGGTCGTGTTTTACAATATGGAGGAAGTCGACCTCCTCCTCCGTGAGCCTCATGTGCGTCTGCAACGCGTCGGTGACATTCGTCATCTTCCATCCTGGGCTGAGCAGGTCTACCCAGGCGCTGACCTTGGAATCCTCGAGAGCCCCAGCGGACGAGGACGAGGACGAGCGGACGAGCTCGTCTGCATCACCCCTCTCGTCTGCCCCTTCGCAGAGCATGCCGCTCATGAACAGTGGCCCCATCCTGCCCTTAGACTTCAAGAGCTCCGCCGTACGTTCCGTGGACTGCTGCTCGCGGATGCCCACGAGGTGCGACTGCTGGTTCTCCCGGTTGAGGAACCGCACCACGAACACCTCCACCTCCAGCGTGATCCTGGCGCTATCCTTCAGAGACACGTGGAATGCAACGCTCAGACGAGGCGGTTCGCCGCTGGGCTGCCCCGCAGCCGTGGCTACCCGCATCTGCTCGTCGAACTTGGCACAGTCCTCGGCGGACGCCAGGAAACTGCGCAAGTCCTCCTGCCGGAGGGACCGGCGCTGGTTGAGAAACAGCAGGTTGCGCAATTCTGGCGAATCCTTCCTGAGCCGTAGCGCGTCGTCCACCTCCACGACAACGTCGCATACGCTCCGCAGCACGGACTGGGCAGCGGCTAGCTCGTTGCGCGAGGACTGCACCTCAAGCTCCAGCTGCGTCATCTGATGCAACAGCTTGTCGACAGCAAACAAGCACAGCACAATGACGACGGAGAGTGTTAAGAGTTGCAGCGAGCCTCTCAGAGGATCTGCCCGAGCGCAACCGTCACTGTTTCGCTCATTAGCAGCAAAAGAGAGGCAAAGTATCATGTTAATGACGAATATCCAGATCGCATTAAGCCATGGTTTCAAAAAACCGATGCTAAAACCAAGAGCGATGACCCATGTGCCACTGGCGTGCACCAAGATCGTGTCGGCAGAAACGGCGATAGGCCATACCGTGGCGCTCAGGACAGCCATCATCGCCGAGTATACCCAGTCGGCAGAGTCTCGCGTGAGGACGGTCGGAAAGACGTACAGAAACATCACAAGTATGGCGTTTACGAGTGCGCTGCAGTTCTGCGCAAACGACGTTGGCAAGGTGCCCCCCCACCACATGGCCGCGATGACGACCACGCCCGCGCAATGCGCGTAGGGCAGCAATGCCTTGGTCAAGGCGACCTTTCTCCTTTGAAGCTCCTGCGCCGCATGCTGCACATCGGAGTTCACGCCCTCGTCCCAGCCAGGCTCGAGAGTTCCTCGAGCCCGCCTCAACGGCACCACCATGCGCTGCAGCAGCCACTGCCCCGGCCCGCCTGACCACGCGGACAGCCCGCCCCACCAGAGCAGCGAGCAAGCGCCGAGGAACAGGTAAGCGCAGCCAGCCACGAAAAGGGCACGCTCCACGTCCCCCCCCAGGGAAAACAATTCCATGCTCGTTCGCGGCAGGCGCTCCTGCGTCTCAGCGCGCTCCACTGGGCACCGCGCCGATGCGGGCGCTCGGCGATGCAGCGAGTTGAGGCGAAGTTTGAGCCAGAATGGCTGTGGGAAGGGAGATGTGGCTCATTGAGAGGTCTGTCTTAGAGTCGCGAGGGCCCTGACTTTGGAGAGCCGCTTGGGGCGCAGGGCCGCCTGAGCCCTGTTCGGGCGACCGCGGGCCATGTTGCGGACTCTCCAAGTGGTTTTGGAAACGCCTGGAGCCAAATAAAACATCGTGCGGCAATGTTGAGGGCTTCTGGAAGCCGTCTGGAAGCCTCATGGGGGGCTGCGGCTGCCTTGGGCCAGTATGGCGGACCTCTTGGATTGTCTTACGGGCTCGCAAGACTGCGCAGGCAACCCTGACTGGATCGAACAGACGCCATTGACTTGAGAATGAGTTTGGCCTCCTCGGATCCTAATGGGAACATGTTTGGGGTGGCTTTCGGGCCTCTTCGGGGTCTGCTGAAGGCAGCTCGGAGCTCTCTTCGGGCTCTTCGGAGCCTTTTTACACCCCCCACCCTGGAACCATTTCCAGTCCCTTGGGGGAATGTTGGGAAGCTCTTGCGGACTTTGGAGCTTCTTAAAGCTTCTTGGTGGCCTCTTCGGCCGTCTTAGGAAGACCTTCAGACCGAGAGAGCGAATGCGAACATTTTCAAATCGAGCGAAGTCATAACGGTTTGGGGCGGGTTCGACCTCTCAATGGTAGCTTTTCAAGAAGCGTATATCCTGAGTGAATCCTTCAATCGGAGACCCCATCAAAAGTGCTACATCAGGATACGACCTTAGTTGGGAGCGAGCAGTGACGTCATGTGTTGCACCTGGGGGGGAGGGAAACAAGACAACCTGCAGAGCTACGAAAAGAAGCCGATGGAGCCAGAACGTCACCGGCGTGTGCAACATTAGTGCCAGAGCTGAGCTAGGAAACAAGCCACCTGAGCCAGAAAGTCTGCAGAGCTAGACAAACAAGCCCCCTGAACCAAAACACCTGCAGAGCTAGAACAACGCGACCAGTTTCGCACCTTGGCACCTACGATCTTCAAAATGGCTTCGCCGTGGCTCAGGAGGTTGGCGCTGCGAGGATTATCGACCAGCGAGTTGAATGTAATCCTGGCCATCCTGCGTCTCTGGCTGGGTCGCGCTGCTTGCTCCTCCGCGTTGAATCCGCGGGCCACGCCGCGGCGCCCCTCTGGGCTCGTCCGAGGGGGGAGGCCCCGGAGTCCGACGGCGGCGGGGCCAACGAGCTCAGGACCTCTCCAGCCCGCGCCGTTGCCGAACCACTGGGGCCGCCAACCCGCGCGACCAGGCTCGGCCCCCACACCGCCGACGAGCGGGCTGGGCCCGCGCCCCCTGCCCCCCCCCCCTCTCCTGCGTGGTTCCGGCGCGGGCGCACCCGTGGAGCTCCCTTGGCCCTCCGTAGGTTTCCGCGGCACCAACGCTCGCGTCGCGCTGGCCCCCGGGGCCGCGGGGATTCCTGCGGCCCTCCGCCCGCGGGAGCGGGAGGCAGCCGGCCCGGGGGGGGGGGGGGCCTCCACAGGCGGCGCCCCGCGATCGACTTCGGGCTCGAGGAGCCCCCCTTTACTTGTCGGTCGGAGCCGGAAGCCTTTCCACGTCAGCGGCGCAAGCCGCGGGCGGAACGGGGTCAGGGGGCTGGCCGGGGGGCGTCCGCGGGAGAGTGCCCACGTCCGTGGTTGCCAGGCTCTGGCGAAGTCTGGCCTGGCTCAGCTGCGGGAGCACCCAGGATGCTCCCTCCGGCGAGTGGTAGCCGAGGCCACAGGGATCCCCACCCCGACGGTCTGCAAGACCGCCTCGGCCTCCTGCAAGGCACGCGTCGCCAGAGAGGTGCTCCCCTATGGCGTCCCTCCCAGAAGCAGGCAGGGGCACGCCAGCCGCCGCATGGCGCAGGCGGCCGTGCACAGGGGCTCGAGCCCCTCCGATAAAATGACTGCCCGAGCCGCGGCGGCGGCGGGGGAGAGAAAGCTGACCCGCCCGCTCTTCAACTTAAGTTCAAGGGAAACCGCGAACCAAAACACTTCCCTTGTGTTTCCTCGATCGGTCCCAGAGAATGTCCGATGATCCTACAACTGCTGATGCTACTACTGATTACCTTTCTAAAGAGAAGCGGACGGCGGGCAGCAGGGCGCTGGCCTCCAGGGCCAGCTTCCCTCGTGTTTCCTCTTCCTCTTCCTCATTCTCGCCCTGCCCCGCGAATTCTTCCCCCTCCTCCTTAGCTTTTTTTCGCGGAGGATCCTCCTTGGGGAGCTTACCGGTGGCCTCGCGAAAATGTTAAAGGGCTTCTCGGGACCTTCTGGAAGCCTCCTGGGCCCCTTGTGGAGGCATCTGGGTGCTTCCTCGGGCCTCCCTGCTTCCAACCGCGATCTCCCTGAACGACCAGGTCACGATTTGGAATGCTTTTGGGGGGCGTCTTGGGGTCATCTTGTGCCGTCATGGGACTCTCTTCGGGCCATCTTGGAACCCTGCTGTGCCGCCTTGGGGCTCTTGGACCCCTTTCGGATAGTTTCGTTGCGATGTTCGGGCCTCCTGGGCGGTTCCGGACGCCCAGAAGACCGACGAACAAAGCATTCCCAAAAGCCTGCAGAGACAATGGGAAATCACTGTTTCTCTGCACCTCGAAAGCCTCTGGGGGTCTTCTTTGGGTCGTCTTCGGGCGTCTGGTGGGTGTCTGGAGCCTCTTGGGGCCCCCGGGGGGGCCGTTCGGCCGCTCTCCTGACCGATTCGGGCCGATGCCTGGGCCCAGCCAAGGCTTCCTGGAGCTCCAGGAAGCCTGGGGGGCCTCCTGGCTGTCCGGAAGGCTCCCTGGACCCTCCGAAACGGCGTCTGGGGCGTCCTTTGGGCGGAGGGTCCAGTGGGGAGGTTTCCAGGCAAATAAAAATAGGAATAAAGAGAGAGAGAGAGAGAGAGAGGGAGAAAGAGTTTATAGGTACGCGAACACGAGGGATCGGGTAAGAAAAAGGACAAGAAATCGAGTCAGAAGTCTGTTATTCCACCTGCTACTCGGAGGACGGATGCACGTCATGCAAGATTGTAGTGTCTACGTGGCTACTTGGCAATCGGGCAGACGATTTTGATGGACCCTGCGCAGCGTGCTTTATGAAGTCTTTCTATAAGTATCGGCATCGATACACATGTAAGCGGATCATACACATGTGCACACACACTCACTCGATATCTTGAAGGCTCGCTCCGCTTCGCCATAAGTCTTGGCCCACGCGTTGTCCATTTGGAACGCAACGCCCAAAAAGGCTCGTGGCCAAGAACGGTCGAAGGACGGGCCGCGAGAGGAGGAGGCACGATGGAGTGATCTGTGGTCGCAACGTCTGGACGGCGCTGCCTCACATAACAGTCATAATAGACTCATGGTTAGCGGCGCTAGCATAGTGGCAGGTTTTGCCGCAGGCACCTTGCCAACAACTAACACTGACATCGCGCTGGAAACTGCGGGTGGAAGGGATGGAACATGCAGGGATGCGTGAAGACCAGAAACGCCTGCCTGCCAGTGCCTCCAGCGTCGCACTGTCGATCATGGCGGCCGCCTGCCTCTCGTCAACCTCTAGGGCGTCATTCAGGGCGGTGCTCAGCTCTGAGCGAAGGCGCCTCGGGAATGGAATCGCGTGCACGCGGTCCTCGAGACGACGCGTGATTGAGATCACCGCGCACACGCACAACGCTCACAATGTGTCAGGCGAGACCGCCGGGCGACCTTTAGGTGACACGGCCCGATACGGCCCGCACCAACAGCAAGAGGCCTCTCGGTGACAGATCCAAGGGAGTTTTCAAACAACCAGAGAGATGTCTCATTTTCACTCGCCCACCACGCATCTTGAGACGTCTTCACCAAAGCCTTCGTTTGCTTTTTCAGCCTGTCGGACCGTGTTGGCCAAGCCACAACGCTCGCAACGAACACTGGAACTCTTGTGACCTGACCGTCAAGTCATCCATCTCGGATTAGCTGGGACTAGCCAAAACTACTTTGCAAGCGGACCTTGTGTCCGTTGGCAAACCTGACCTCTCCGAACGAAACTAAATCACCAGCATGGTTGTCCCGTGGATTGTTCCACGGTTTGTTTCGTGGTTGTCCTGTGGGATTTGCAAATCGGAATGCAAATGCAACTGCAAACGAAATGCACATCGAAATGCAAGTCCGATTGGAACTGGCATTCGCGCCGAAATCCAAACCGAAATTCAAATCGCCACGCAAATCAAGTGATAATCAAACTCTACCAGTCGAGCTGCAAATGCAATTCCGATAGAAATTCACATGGGAATGCACATTCAAACCGGCACATGGACATTCAATTGCAATCGAAACCCGAAAGCTGCAACTTGACATGCGAATGAGGTTGCATCCGAGATATAAATCAAAAAACGCACATCTAGATTCAAATCAACATGACAACTAATCAAAAAGATCGTCAGACTAAACATTGGAATGCAACACCAATTTCAATAACAATTAAAATGCAATTGCAAGGGAACTCCAAAACGCAACGCACATCTAAGTACAAATCCGATTCCCGGGGGAGCTGCGTGAAATTCCGTGCCCTCCGCTCCCTGACTGACCGACTGAACTGGACTGACTGAGCTGGAAGGGCACTTTTGACAACACATGTCAACCCGCCTGGGCGCAACCGCAACCACAACCAAGCGACACATTTCAACCCGCCCACGGGCACAACTGCAACCGCAAGCAAAACGCACATTTCAACCCGCCAGCGGGCGCAACCACAACCACATCCGCAACCAAGCGACACATTTCAACCCGCCCACGGGCGTAACCGCGACCGCAACCAAGCGACACATTTCAACCTGCCCGCCGGCGCAACCGCAACCGCAACGAGGCAACACATTCCAACCCGCCCGCGGGTGTACCCGCGACCGCAACCAAGCAACACATTTCAACCCGCCTGCGGGCGCAACCGCAACCGCAACCAAGCGACACATTTCAACCCGCCCGCGGGCGTAACCGCGACCGCAACCAAGCAACACATTTCAACCCGCCTGCGGGCGCAACCGCAACCGCAACCAAGCGACACATTTCAACCCGCCCGCGGGCGTAAACCGCAACCGCACACCAACCAAGCGACACATTTCAACCCGCCCGCGGGCGTAACCGCGACCGCAACCAAGCAACACATTTCAGCCTGCCGCGGGCGCAACCGCAACCACATCTGCAACCAAGCGACACATTTCAACCCGCCCGCGGGCGTAACCGCGACCGCAACCAAGCAACACATTTCAACCCGCCTGCGGGCGCGACCGCAACCGCAACCAAGCGACACATTTCAAACCGCCCGCGGGCGTAACCGCAACCGCAACCAAGCGACACATTTCAACCCGCCCGCGGGCGTAACCGCGACCGCAACCAGGCAACACAGCGGGCGCAAAAAGCACATTTCAGCCTGCCCGCGGGCGCAACCGCAACCACATCTGCAACCAAGCGACACATTTCAACCCGCCCGCGGGCGTAACCGCGACCGCAACCAAGCAACACATTTCAACCCGCCTGCGGGCGCGACCGCAACCGCAACCAAGCGACACATTTCAACCCGCCCACGGGCGTAAGCGCGACCGCAACCAAGCAACACATTTCAACCAGCCCGCGGGCGCAACTGCAACCACATATGCAACCAAGCGACACATTTCAACCCGCCCGCGGGCGCAACCGCGGGCGCAACCAGGCAACACAGTTCAACCCACGGGCGGGCGCCAAAAGCACATTTCAGCCTGCCCGCGGGCGCAACCGCAACGACACCTGCAACCAAGCGACACATTTCAACCAGCCCGTGGGAGTAACCGCAACCGCAAGCAGGCAACACATTTCAACCCGCCTGCTGGCGCGACCGCAACCGCAACCAAGCAACACATTTCAACCCGCCAACGGGCGCAACCATAACCGCAACAAGGCAACACATTTCAACCCGCCGGCGCGCGCAACCGCAACCTCAAGCAAAAGGCACATTTTAACCTGCCCGCGGGCGCATCCGCAACCACAACCGCAACCAAGCGACACATTTCAACCCGACCGCACGCGTAACCGCGACAGCAACCAAGCCACACATTTCATCCAACGCGCGGGCGCAACCGCAACCGCAACCAAGCGACACATTTCAACCCGCCCACGGGCGCAACCGCAACCGCAACCAAGAAACACATTTCAACCCGCTGGCGGGCGCAACCGCAACCTCAAGCAAAAGACACATTTCAACCTGCCCGCGGGCGCAACCACAACCACATCCGCAACCAAGCGACACATTTCAACCCGCCCACGGGCGTAACCGCGACCGCAACCAAGCGACACATTTCAACCTGCCCGCCGGCGCAACCGCAACCGCAAGCAAGCGACACATTTCAAACCGCCAGCGGGCGCAACCGCAACCGCAACCAAGCGAGACATTTCAACCCGCCCGCGGGCGTAACCGCAACCGCAACCAAGCAACACATTTCAACCCGCCTGCGGGCGCAACCGCAACCTCACGCAAGAAACACATTTCAACCTGCCCGCGGGCGCAACCGCAACCACATCCGCAACCAAGCGACATATTTCAACCCGCTCGCGGGCGTAACCGCAACCGCAACCAAGCGACACATTTCAACCCGCCTGCGGGCGCGACCGCAACCGCAACCGAACGACATATTTCAACCCGCCCACGGGCGCAACCGCAACCGCAACCAAGCAACACATTTCAACCCGCCGGCGCGCGCAACCGCAACCTCAAGCAAAAAAACACATTTCAGCCTGCCCGCGGGCGCAACCGCAACCACAACCGCAACCAAGCGACTGCAACCAAACCGCCCGCGGGCGTAACCGCAACCGCAACCAGGCGACACATTTCAACCCGCCTGCGGGCGCAACCGCAACCGCAACCAAGCGAGACATTTCAACCCGCCCACGGGCGCAACCGCAACCGCAACCAAGCAACACATTTCAACCCGCTGGCGGGCGCAACCGCAGACTCAAGCAAAAAACACATTTCAACATGCCCGCCGGCGCAACCGCAAGCACATCCGCAACCAACCGACACATTTCAACCCGCTCGCGGGCGTAACGTAACCGCGACCGCAGCCAAACCGCCCGCGGGCGCAACCGCAACTGCAACCTCAGGCAAAAGGCACATTTTAACCTGCCCGCGGGCGCAAACACAACCACAACCGCAACCAAGCGACACATCTCAACCCGCCCACGGGCGCAACCGCATCCGCAACCAGGCAACACATTTCAACCCGCCCACGGGCGTAACCGCAACCGCAACCAAGCGACACATTTCAACCCGCCCACGGGCGCAACCGCAACCGCAACCAAGCAACACATTTCAACCCGCCTGCGGGCGCAACCGCGACCTCAAGCAAAAAGCACATTTCAGCCTGCCCGCGGGCGCAACCGCAACCACATTCGCAACCAAGCGACACATTTCAACCCGCCCACGGGCGTAACCGCAACCGCAACCAGGCGACACATTTCAACCCGCCTGCGGGCGCAACCGCAACCGCAACCAAGCGACACATTTCAACCCGCCCACGGGCGCAACCGCGACCGCAGCCAGGCAACACATTTCAACCCGCTGGCGGGCGCAACCGTTTACTCAAGCAAAAAAAACATTTCAACCTGCCCGCGGGCGCAACCGCAACCACATCCGCAACCAAGCGACATATTTCAACCCGCTCGCGGGCGTAACCGCGACCGCAACCAAACCACCCGCGGGCGCAACCGCAACTGCAACCAGGCGACACATTTCAACCCGCCCGCGGGCGCAACCGCAACCGCAACCACACGACATGTTTCAGCCAGGCCGCGGGCGCAACTGCAACCACAACCTGGCGACACATTTCAATCCGCCCGCGGCCGCAACCGCAATCGCAACAGCAACCGCAACCAAGCGACTCATTTCAACCTGTCCGCGGGCGCAACCACAATCGCAACCGCAACCAAGCGACACATTTCAATCCGCCCGCGGGCGCAACCGCAACCACAACCAAGCGACGCACTTCAACCCGCAAAAAGGCGCAATCGCAACCGCAACCAAGCGACACATTTGAACCTGCCCGCGGGCGCAACGGCAACCGCAACCGCAACCAAGCAACCGCTGGCAGGCCCAACTGCAACCGCTAGCAAGCGACACATTTCAACCCGCTCGCGGGCGCAACCGCAACCGTAACCGCAACCAAGCGACACATTTCAGCCCGCCCGCGGGCGCAACCACAACCGCAACCTGGCGACACATTTCAGCCCGCCCGCGGGCAGAACCTCAACCGCAACCGCAACAGCAACCAAGCGAACTATTTTAATCCACCCGCTGGCGCAACCAGCCGAGGAGCAGGATGTGCAGGAGCACGAGGAGGAGGAGGAGGAGGAGAAGGAGGAGGAGGAGGAGGAGGAGGAGCAGGAGGCAGAGGAGGAGGATGAGAAGGAGAAAGATGATGATGAGGAGGAGGAGGAGGAGGAGGAGGAGGAGGAGGAGGCAGAGGAGGAGAGGGAGGAGGAGGAGGAGGAGGAGGAGGAAGCCGGGAAGGAGAAGGGAGAAGCAGATGAGGAAGAGAGGTGGCGGGAAGAGGAGGATGGGCAGGACGGCCATGAGGAGGAGGAGGAGGAGGAGGAGGAGGAGGAGGAGGAAGGCGACGACGACGACGATGAGGAGGGAGATGCAGGGGTGGTCGTGTTTCTGGGGGTTGCAGGAGCAGGTGCCAGTGGAGGACGAAGGCCAATGGCACGACAGGAAGATGGAAGGCCTGGAGGATGAAACGGAGACGGAGGCCGCTGAGGAGAACGATGAGGAGGAGGAGAAGGAGGAGGAAGAGCAAGAGGAGCAGGACGACGCGTTGCCCGCCGGTCTCCGCCGGGACATTGCAGCGGGGAGCCCCCTTTCCACGCTGCTGCCTCTAATTGCCATCGAACTTCAAATAAAAATCCACACTTGAAATTGCAACGCAATGCGAACCCGACTGCACATATAACTTCAAATCGACTTGCCATACGACATTCAATTTGACATGGTCATGCCAGTGCGATTAGTATGCAAGTCGAAATGCAATCCCAATGTCAATCAACTGTAACTCGAAGGGCAATTCGAACCGCAATCAAAATGCGCATCGAACGGCACAGGTAAATGCGCCTAGGCACTCACAAGTACCTCAACAGAGAAGGCACGGAGGAAAATTATGATAACAACAGGTATGCTCAACACAAACCAAACACACCCCGAACGGCCCATGCCTCGTGTATACATGGATTTCAACGGTCCGAAACCTTCATCTCGCCAAACAAACGTGCCTCAACACTTGAGCTTCAACAGGAACCTTCAAACTCAATCGGGCATATTTTCTGTTCGTGCATGTCCTTGTCGAGAAACAGCAAACAAAGTACTTCTCATCGCTATCTTGCAAGTGTGGTCGTCGCGCGTTGCACCAGCCCACGTGTCAGAGAGTGTGTGTGTGTGTGTGCGCGTGTGTGCATTTTACACCCGCGCAGAAACGAATCCACAACCCACAATGGTATCACTCTGCAGAGGCGGCAGCATGACACGTGCGCCAGCATGATCGTCGCGATGTAGCTGGCAGGGGTATTACACGGGCCCGTTCGCGCCCAGACTGGTACAGAACGCTGCTGCAATAAGGACCACTTCGGGTTCAACTTCGGGTTCAGGAGGAGGGGGAGTATGAGGATGATGATGAGGAGGAGGAGCAAGAGTAGGAGGATGAGGAGGAGGAGGAGGAGGAGGACGAGGAGGAGAGGCTCGATCCGTTCCCTAGAACCAGGTCGGGGAACCTGTTCGTGGTCGAGGCTCGCCGTGACCAGAAGGGCCCTGTCGGTCCTCCTTCGGCACACTGATTGTTAGAGACGTCGCTTGCGGTTTCTAGGTCTCTCTAAATCACAATGCTCCAAGCTATTTGGACGTTGGTTCAAGATTTTCCCCAGCCCTACTTTGCCTGGGCATTCGATTTGAATGGAACACTGCTGCTCATTCCTCCTCCTCCTCCTCCTTCTCCTCCTCTTCCGCCCGCCCAACTGTCGACACTTTCGTGAGCTTGTGAGAGGCCAGCCAGGTGACGCCATGCGGGGACCCAAGCTAGACCTCAGCTCCCTGAGTGGTGCCAGCTGCGCAAGTGCCGCCAGTTTCGTCAGCTTGTGGGGGGGGGGGGGGCAGCGCGGCGACGTCACACTGTGACCCAAGCTAGACTCCTCCAGGAGGCCCGGCGGAACGATGTCGCGCAATGCCCATCACCAGACACCGTCCTCCATGGGTGCTGCCAATTGGTTACCCGTCGTGAGCTCCTGGGGGGCCCGGCGGACTGACGTAATACGGGTCGATATGGTGCGAGGAGGAGTAGTAGGAGGAGGAGGAGGAGGAAGAGAACGAGAAGGAGGAGGAGAAGAAGGAGAAGGAGGAGGAGGAGGAGAAGGAGGAGGAGGAGGAGGAGGAGAGAGGAGGAGGGAGGAGGAGGATGAGGAGGAGCCTGGCCCTCTCTGGGTCGTGCCAAATGCGCAGCTGTCGCCACTCTCGCGAGCCTCTTGGAGGTCCACTGGGGCGCGGTCCTGCGAGGACCCAAACAGGACCTCGCCCGCCCGTGGTGCACTGTCGACGCCTTCGTGAACCCCTGGGAAATCCAGCGGCGTGACATATTGCAGGGATCCAAAGGAGGACTCGAATCGAAATCGGAAGCCGTCGAACTCGAATCGAACCGAATCGAATCGGAGGGGTCGACATGAACCCTGGTGAACTACGCACCCGATGTCGCTTTCGTGAGCTCCTGGGAGGACCAGCGCAGCGACGGCATACGGGAACCCAAAAGGAGACTGCGCCCTCCTGGGGCGCTGCCAGCTGCACAACCATCGCCCGCGAGCTCCTGGGGGGTCAAGCGGAGCGCAATCCCACAGGGACCCAGGCTACAGTCAACCGGTAGAAAACGGACGCACGGTAAGGATGCAAGGGCCTTGGAAGGCCATGTCGACGCTTTGCGAGCGGGGCGCGGCCAGCGAAAGCGGCCAAGGATGGGCCGAAGGGGAAGGATGCAAGGGTAGCCTTGGAAAGGCGCGCATCCTTGCTATGCGGGTCGACTTACCTACCTCTCTGGGAGCTGCCGTCCTCAACTCCTTCCCCGTCTTCGTCGTCGTCCTGCTTCCATTGCCGCCCCACCTCGTTGCCTCGAGGTCGTCGGCGTTGTCGCCGCCGCAAAAACCAACCGACGGAGCAACCAATGCAGACCTTCGCCTCTGCAGGGCCATCTCCGCCATCCGGGCAAGCAACCTCGAAGCCTTTGAATTGTTCGGGCGCTCCTTCCTCCAGGCGTCATATGTGCCGAACGCGAGGCCGAGCAATAAGGCGTCGAAAATGAGGCCTCCTACGGCGAGCATTTCACCCGAGGCGACAGCGTCGTGATCATTGATCCGTCCGGCCCCCACTGGAGACATAGCGGCACCGTCCTAAACCCTCGCCGCGACAACGTCGCCGTTCAGCTCGACAACGGCCTCACGGTCGCAATGCGGCCCGTCGGCGTGGCTTCATTCCGTGATTTATGCGACGACAGTGAAGATGATGACGGCCCTGGCCTGGTTGATGACGACGGCGACGCTGACCTCTTGTGGTGGCATTCGGAGGAAGAGGACGAGGTAGGCCCTCCAAACCTAAGAGTACTCAAGAGGCGAGCAGGTCACGATGATCGACCCGTCCAGCCCTTATTGTGGACACGCCGGCATGGTCACGGATGTCTCCAGCGAGCGCGTCGCCGTCCAGCTCGCCGATAGCCTCACGGTCTTCACGAGCTTCTCCGACGTGGTCGGCTTTTGGTCGACCTTCCTGGCCCGTGGCGACGACGACCACGCTGGCCTCGATATTCTTGGCCAGGTTACCCTGCTGCGCGCCCCTACCCCCGTCCAGCTCACCCTGTCGAGCAGAACACAAAAACGGACGCAACGTTTAGGCCAGCAGCGGTGCGCCCATAAGGTCTTCAGCAGCCTCCCTGCTGACACCTGGCCGACGGCCTCGGGCTCCGTCGTTGCCATCCCCGAAGCGCCTGGCCACACCCCTTCCTCTTCCTCCTCCCCCTACCCACCCACGCGGGGGCTCACGCAGAGGAGGAAGGACGAGGAGGAAGATGGCGACGGGGATGGAAACGACGACGTTGGCCGCGAGCAGGTCATGCTCGATGCCGCCCCCGATGCCGCCGCGACGATGTACGACCGCGAACAGCCCCAAGACACTGCAACGGCCGGTTGTCACGCTGTTGGCGTGCTGACCTCAGTCGTACGACCAGCCGTCGCGGCCACACCAGGGCGTTTCCACGGCCGGCAGATTCCACGGGCCGACTACACAGCGCGCGCACATTCCGACTCCGCAGCAGACCGACGACACAGTCAGACTGCCCAACACTGCGACTTCACTGTCCGACCCCATGACCGGCCGACTCCACGGTCCGACCGCCCACAGTCCGACTCCACAGCAGACGCTTCTGCTTCTGCGTCGTCACGGCAGGGGTGCCGCTCGCAGGAAGGTGGCGACGGGGATGCTAACGACCACGTTGGCCTCGAGCAGGTCGTGCTCGACGCCGCCCCCCCCACACACCACCGCGACGACGCACGACTGCGAATAGCCCCGCGACACTGCAACGGCCAGTGGTCACGCTACTGGCGTACCGACCTCAGTCGTACGACCAGCCGTCGTGGCCACACTAGGGCGACCCCAAGGCCGTTCGACTTTACAGTCCGACTACGCAGCGCGCGCACAATCCGACCCCACAGTAGACCGACTCATTCACTACCTCTGACGGCCCCGCTGCATCGGGCGCGTCGCTTCCTGCAAAACCAGGGCGCTGCCCCCCCCCTGCGTGAGCCGCGCCCACAGCTGTTGCGGTGCTGACGCCTCGCCCTGTTGCAGCCGCAATTCACAGCGTGGGTGCCGCTCACAGGCGCACCCCACGCTCATTGGCACAGACATGTCTGCCACGTGCGTTTCACCGCCCACTGCTTAACACTTTACCTTACGCCCGCATGGGGCTTCCACCACGGCCGATGACCCCACTTTTTGCCAGCCCGATTGCCCGCGCGGCCACGCGTCATGGTTCCTGGCTGCGGCGGCGGGGGACGCCCCGTCGTTTGCATGCCGCTCAGCTGCCAATCCCTTGTTCCCCGGCCGCCAACCGGGGCTTCGCCGACATGGGCCATACTCCCCCGCGGGGCGCCGAGAGACGTGGCGTATTGTCTGCTCAGCACCCCGTCACTTGCTACAGTCGCTTTGCGCCGGGCTGCGACACCGCCAAGAGTGCGATAGCGGCCTCAACTACCGCAGTAGCCGGCTGCGACGGGACGCCCGTCTGCTTGTCCGATCTCTCTGTCTCTCTCTCTCTCTCTTGTTTGTGTTACCTCTCCCTCTCTCTTGCTGTCTCTCTCAGGCCCTCCCTCCCTCCCCCCATGAACACCCAACCGGCCCAGGCCCACGTGTGGGCCCCAGCCCCCGGCCCCCCTTCGCCCTGCCCGCCCTCGATCCAGGGCAGCGCTCCCACAGGGCGGCGGCGCCCCGCTTCTGCGGCGACCGCGGCGTCCGCGCGAACCGTCCAGCCGTCCAGCCACAGGTCCACCTCGCCTCGGGGCAGGGCACCGAGGAGGAGGCGGAGGAGGAGGAGGAGGAGGAGGAGGAGGAGAGGGAGAGGGAGAAGGAGAAGGAGGAGGAGGTGGGCCTGGCAGGGGGCCGCAACTGGCGCAGAGCGAAGCGAACTTGGGAGCCCGCTCGTGCCCATCAGGGCCTGGCGTGGAGACCGTGGCCTTCAACATGTGACGCACAGGCGGACTCACGAGGCCTCGGCCGCGCAGCATGGATGGCGCGAGAGGCGGCGAAGGGGAATTCGACCCAGACCTCCTCCTCCTCCTCCTTCTCCTCCGCCTGCCCTCTTCCTCCTCCTGCCCTCCTCCTCCTCCTCCTCCTCCTCCTCCTCCCCCTTCTCCCCTTCTTCTACTCCTCCTCCTCCTCCTCCTCCTCCTCCTCCTCCTCCTCCTCCTCCTCCTCCTCCTCCTCCTCCTCCTCCTCCTCCTCCTGGCTGAGAAGCTGTTCAGCTGAGAAGCATGGGCCACACATTGAGCAACATCGTAAGCAGACGCAAAGCAAGCCTAGCGCGTACAGCCCCATGCACGCGTACAGATTTGGCTGTTCTGTTAATTGAAATCGGACCCACCTGGAAGTTGCCACAGAAACGCTGGGCCATAACACGGTGGGGACTGCTGCTGATGATCGGGCCAACTGCTGTAATGATACCAGGCACCATTGGAACGTGTTGGCCACCGCGTCCCGAACCTTCGGCTCCTCCTCCTCCTCCTCCTCCTGCCACGTGATGCGCTGGACCTCCTCCTACTCCTCGTCCTCCTCCACCTCCTCCTCTTTCTCCGCCGCCTCCTCCTCCTCTTCCGCCTCCTCCTCCTCCTCCTTCTCCCCCTCCTCCTCCACCTCCACCTCCTCCTCCTTCTCCACCTCCTCCCTCCTCCTCCTCCTCCTCCTCCTCCTCCTCCTCTCCTCCTCCTCCTCCTCCTCCTCCTCCTCCTCCTATGCTCCCCATCCCCCTCTCTCTGTCCCTCCCTCCGTCCATCCCCTCCGTCCTCCTCCTCCCTCCTCCCCTCCCTCCCTCCCTCCCTCCCTCCCCTCCCTCCCCCCCCCGTCCCCTTCTCCCTCCCCCCTCCCCCATCCCTCCCCTTCTCGCCCTCCCACCCCCCGAGCAGCTGGAGCGCAAGAGCGTCGGCCTCCAGCCGCGGGCCCCGCGTCGGAAGGCTGGGGGCGGCGCTGCTTTTGTGACCGCGGCCAGTGGCGAAGGACTGCCGCCGCCGCCGCCGCCGCCGGCGCCGCCGTCGTCGTCGTCGTCGTCGTCGTCGTCGTCGTCGTCGTCGTCGTCGTCGTCGTCGTCGTCGTCGTCGTCGTCGTCTGGCCACGACCGAGACCCGGGGGGCACCCCTGACTCGTCGGTGGCGTTCGCTCCCATTTTCATTGTCTTCGGGCGTGTTCGTGGGTTCTCGTCGGCTCTCCAGCCTCGGGGTGCCTTCCAAAGGTTGCCCATGTCGTCGTTACTGCTCCTGCGAGTATGTTGTTATTGCTGCTGTTTTGCTTGTTGCTGTATTCTGGCTCCTCCTGCTGTCATTCCCTAACTAGGCTTGCCAAACGGGTTCTTACTTTTCTTAACTGGACGAGCAGAGCGCTCTGGCACGCAACCATCCCTCCGCGTCGCTCGGCGTCTAAATGACGCCTTCGAGTCGCGAGGAAACACGTAAGCACGTGACAAGAAAGTTGATTGTCCGGCATCGTCTCGAGCGGGGTAGCGTCTACCGAAGCTGTGCTCCCGCGCAGCGTCTACCGAAGCTGTGCTCCCGCGCGCTGCGGCACAGAACCCGAAGACGGCAAAACTCGTTAAAAATGAAACTAAACTGCGTGACTGGATATGGAACCTGAAAAGGAAGGGGTGAGCAAGAGAAATAGTGGGGCAGAGTAGAAGGAGGAGCTGGAGGAGGAGGAGGAGGAGGAGGAGGAGGAGGAGGAGGAGGAGCTGGAGGAGGAGTCTGACGGACTGGCGAGATCCACTACTTCGCCGCGCCCGCTCTGAGCTCTGCGAGCTCCCTGTCCTTCTCCTCCAGCTGCTTCCTGAGTTCCGTGTAGCTCGGGTCGTCGCTGGCCTGTGAAGGGTGCTCGTCACCACCCCAGCTGCAGTTGACAAGGTCCAGCGGACCCACGAGGGACGCGGGGTAGTCCCTGCCCAGGACGCACCCGCACTCCTTCATGTCCGCATCCGACATGAGCCACGGCGTGTGGACAAACTTGTCGCCCACGCCGCGCAGCTCGGGCACCCAGCGGCGGATGTACTCGCCGGCGGGGTCGTTCGCCTGCTCCGCGCGGAGCTTGAACCTCAGGTCCCAGTGCTCCGGGTCGAAGTCCCGGCTCCCGTCCCACGCGCTCGAGCCGCCGTTGCCGATCTTCGAGACCACGGCCCAGTTGCCGTAGTTCATCGCGAAGTCGTAGTCCAGGAGGCGCTCCTCGTCGTGGAAGGCTCCGATGCGCCAGTCCATCCACAGGTCGAACACCAGGAAGTGGGCGGCGGTCTTCCGGCCCTTGTAGGCCAGCCACCCCGTCTTCAGGAGCTCCCGCTGACAGGCGTCGATGTAGGGGACCCCAGTGAGGCCCTTTTTCCACTTCTCCGCGACCTCGGGGTTCTGGTCCCACGTGCGGGTCACCTTCGCTGGCCCCTGCAGCCAAGCGACGCGCCTGTGGTACTTAATGGCGTACATGCGGTGGAACTCCCGCCACATCAGCCTGTGCGCCGCCATGGCGTGGAAGGGCGTCTCGGCAGCGCGAGAGAGTATCTCCCTGGCGGTAATGCAGCCGACCGCCATGTAGCACGAGACCCGCATCCCGCCCAGGGACGTCGTGAGGTTGGCCCACTGCATAGGGTCCACCGCGCCCTTAGTCGGCCCGCTCTGGCCTGCGCACGGGAGGTCCCAGTACACCGCGGAGGGCTGCTCCTCTGGGGGCTTCGCCTGCTTCGCCTCGGCCACCCACTGCTCCAGCCACAGGCGCGCCGCCTGCTCGCCGCCCTCCGGGATGCTCTGGCCCTGCACCTCGTCGATCTCCTCCTGCGAGTAGCCCAAGTGCAGGAGCATCTTGACCTCGTCCGCGAGGACATCGGCAGGAATATGCCCTGGCAGCTGCAGCCCAGCGGGCACCCGCGGGAACACACTCGGGGCAGGCACGGGCCCCCGGATCTGCGCGGCCCCCTCCTCCCTCTCGGCGGACGTCCAGATGTCCTTCCAGCCGAGGGCGAAGCCGAGGCCCGTGTAGCTGTCTGGCCTGTCCTTTGGGTGGAAAGGCAGGTCGTCGGGATGGTACAGGCTCATCGCTCCTGGGTCGGTGCGCAGCTTGCTGCCCCCAGCGATCAGTCTCGCCCGCACGAACTCCTCCACGTCGGTCTGCTCGATGGAGACCGGCTCGGGGAGGCACTTGACCTCTGAGCCGGCCGGCAATGCACCGAGGACGTCCTCGGGCTTGCCGCGGCACACCAGCAGCCTGGACCCGCGCCGCTCGAGTTCCTCGCCGAGCGCGCGGACGCACTGGATCCAGAAGCGCGCGCGCAACGCGCAGGTCTTGCGGCTCGAGAAGGTGATCTCTTTGCGGGTGGGTATGGACTTCTTGAACTCTGGGTCGGTCACGCGGCCGTACGGCGAACTGTCCAGGAAGCGCGGGTCGAAGCAGAAGACGGCGGCGAAGGGCCGCTTGTCCACCAAGGCGGCGCCGACGACCGCCCGGAGAACCGGGTTGTCCTGCACCCGCAGGTCGTTGCGGGCCCACCAGATGCAGGGCCCCGCGCTGGTCGGCACCACCCGGGCCTTCTTCGCCGCCGGCTCCATGGCGAGGCCCCCCCTTGCGCTTACCGTGCGCGGAGGTCGATCACTGGGCGGCCGTCCCCTGAGCCTAAGGCTTGAGGCCAAATCGCTACGGATTGCCTAAGGGGGTCTTACTTGGTTGAAAATTGGTGCCTCGGGTGCCTAACTACTTTGCCCGCTCCTCGGAGGTTTCCCAAGTTCCTCGGTTTCCCCGGGTTCTTCGGCCTCTTCGGGTTCCTTGGATTCCTCGGGTTCCTCGGGCTCCCCGGGTTCCTCGGGTTCCCTAGGTTCCCCGGGTTCCCGGGGTCCCCCGGGCTCCCCGCCCCCCCGGTGCCTTGAATTCTCACTTTGCCCGTTCCAAGCAATGCCAAGTAATGCCAAGCACCAGTGCTAAGCAATGCCAAGCAGTGCCAAGCAGTGCCCAGCAACGGGAAGCAATGCCAAATAAACGCCAAGCAATGCCAAGCAATGCCAAGCATCACGCCCATGCAATAGGAGGTTTTCCCTAATGGGGGTCGCGCCGGGTGCATTGTGTTGTTCATATGCGGTTATTTTTGGATGTTGTCATTCCGTTCATGTGGCTGTTGCATCCTTGTTACTAAAAAGGTTGTCATCATCATCATCATCATCATCATCATCATCATCATCATCATCATCATCATCATCATCATCATTATTATTATTATTATTATTATTAGTAGTATTATTAGTATTATTATTAATAATATTATTAGTATTATTAGTATTATTAGTATTATTATTATTATTATGATTATTATAATTATTATTATAATTATTATTATTCTTATTATTATTATTGTTGTTATTGTGTTTGCTGGCGTTGTGGTGGGCCAGAGGCCTTGGCCGGCTCTGTGGGCCAACTGTGGGCCGGGCCACGGCCCTCGTCGAAAATGGCGACCCTCACAGAAATGGCGCCTCTCCTGGTGGGCCGGAGGCGGAGGCCTCGGCCGGCTGTGGGCCAGCTGTGGGCCGGGCGCTTTGCTTGTTGAAACATGGCGACCCTCATTACGATGGCGCCTTCCTGCTGGGCCGGAGGTCTCTGCTGGCTCTGCGGGCCAGTTGTGGGCCAGGCGCCTCGGCCTTCGAAACGGGGCGACTCTCAAGAGGACAGCGCGCCCCTCCTGGTGGGCCACAAACCTCTGCTGGCTCTGGGCCAGTTGTGGGCCGGGCGTCCTGGCACTCGAAAAATGCCCACTCTCACGAAGAGGGCGCCCCTCCTGCTCGGCCAGAGAGGCCTCTGCTGGCTCTGTGGACCAGTTGTGGGCTGGGCGCCTTGGCATTCGAGCGAAAAAAAAGCGATCTGCATGAGGACGGCGCCCCTCCTGCTGGGCCGGAGGCCTCTGCTAGCTCTGTGGGCCAGTTGTGGGCCAGGCGCCTCGGCCTTCGAGACGTGGCGACATGGCGCCCCTCCTGGTGGGCCAGGAGCCTCTGCGGGCTCTGTGGGCAAGCTGTGGGCCTCGCGCCTTGGCCTTCGAAAAAGGGCGACTCTCACGAGGATAGCGCCCCTCCTGGTGGGCCGGAAGGCCTTCCGCCGGCTCTGTGGGCCAATTGTGGGCCCGGCGCCCGGGCGTTCGAAAAGTGGCGACCCTCACGAGAATGGCGCTCCTCCCATCGGGCTGGAAAGCCTATTGGGCGGTCTCGGACGCCCAGAAGACCAAAGAACAGAGTACAGATTCCCCAACTCACGAGCAAAAGCGATGGGGGTATGACTGTTTTTTGTATTTCCAGGGCCTCTTGGGGGTATTGTTTGGGTCAACCTCGGGCTTCTCGTGGGATTCGGCCGCCCTCCTGACCGAGTTGGGCCCTTTGGCTAGGCCCAGCAGGAGCGTCCAGGCTGGAAAGCCCAGGGGAGCTTCTGCAGGAGCATCCAGGGGGTCCCGAAAGCCACGGATCCGCGGAGTCCCGTTCTTCTTCCTCACATCCCACATGGGGTTCTTGTTTTCTTTCTCTGGGCACTCCGCGCAGGAACAGGAACACCCCCTCCCCTATCACTCACACACTCGCACACTCACACATTCACACACTCACACACTCATACACTCACATCTTGATAATGATGATGATCATCATCATCATCACCATCATCATCATCATCATCATCATCATCATCATCATCATCATCATCATCATCATCATCATCATCATCATCATCATCAGCACCATCATCGCAGCATCATCAACATCACTTATACACTTGCACACACTCTCATTCTCCAACTCACTCACTCACTCACTCACAAGTACAACTCATCACTCATCATCATCAGCAGCAACATCATCATCGTTCTTGTCATCAGCATCATTATCACAATACCATCGTCAATATCGTCATTACCACACGCACTTACTCACACACCGACACACTCATCTTGACGAGGTCTCAGGCGGGAGCCTCGGCTGTGACACTTTTGGGGCCCTGAGGCCTGAATCTGGAAGAAGTACCAAGGGGGAGCCTCGTCTGTGAGCGACTCGCGAGGAAGTCTCAGGCGGAAGCCCTCTCCCTATGGGGCCCGCCGCTCATGTGCTTAATCCCAGCGGGCCATCGGGATCCTGTAGCTGTCGTTACGTTTGGGCCCTGAGACCTCAATATGGAGGAAGTATCAGGCGGGAACCTCGCTTGTGAGTGAATTGCGAGGAAGTCTCAGGCGGGAGCCTTCTCCCTATGGGGCCCGCCGCTCATGTGTTCAATCCGAGCGGGCCATCGGGATCCTGTAACTGTCGTTACGTTTGGGCCCCTGAGGCCTGGATATGGAGGAAGGAAGTATCAGGCGGGAGCCTCGTCTGTCAGTGAATTTCGAGGAAGTCTCAGGCGGCAGCCCTCTCCCTATGGGGCCCGCCGCTCATGTGTTTAATCCGAGCGGGTCATTGTGATCCTGCAACTGTCGTCACTTTTGAGCCCCTGAGACCTGAATATGGAGGAAGTATCCGGCGGGAGCCTCGTTTGTGAGTGACTTGCGGGGAAATCTCAAGCGGAAGCCCCCTCCCTATGAAGCCCGCCGCCTGAGCGCGGCGGCGCCCCGCTCGGAGCGCGGGGTTGTCTCAACGTTTTGGTCTCGCGCGCCTGCGGCTCGCGGGGTTTTCCCGACGGCCTGGCCCGCGGAGCTGTCCCCGAAAGCTGCGCGATTTTGCCGTCGGGGAACGCGCCCCTGCCAGGCGTGGCGGCGATGACACCGAGGAAAATCTACGCGCGCGCCCCTGCCAGGAGGAAGGGGAGGTGCAGGAGGAGAACGAGCGGGGCAGCGATGAGGAGGGGGAGAAGGAGGACGAGGTGGAGGAGGGCACGGCAACGGCTGAAGAGGAGGAGGAGCAGGAACATGAGGAGGAGAGGGAGGAAGTGGAGGAGGCGGAGGAGGAGGAGGCGGAAGAGGAAGAGGATGAGAAATGCAACGAATAGGACGAGTAGGACGAGTAGGACGAGTAGGAGAAGAAGGATGAGGAAGATGGAGAGGGCGGAAGGAAGCCTCCGCCAGACGAAGAAAAAGGCGAGGGGCAAACTGGATCGATTATCATGTAGGGTCCTACCGTCGGAATCTATGTTTGTTTTTTTTGGGGGGGGGGGGTCCGCACCACCCCGGTTTGTAAACATACAAGGCAGGGAACCTGTATATGTATACACGTGCGCGAACAAGTACGCGAAGAAATGCGGACCACGTGAGCACGTACGCGAAGAAGTGTAAACTACATAGGTCACATTCAGAAAACAGAGTGCCAGCTGGGGTCAACTGCTTGAGCAAAAAACGCGCGAGCGGATCTGTGCATCTGGATGGTCGAACGGCGACCCGCTGGACTCTGAGGGTGCCAGGGTCTGCGGGAGGATGCATGCGTTCGCCATATGTTTCCGAACAACTGCACGGTTTGAGCGTGCCTCATGTGAACAAGGGCGCCTAACTCCGCGCTTCGCGCTGCGCGAAGCGCGTACAACTTCGCGCTCTCGCTTCGCCCAGCACAAGGGAGAAGAGGAGGATGAAGAGGAGGCGGAGCCGAACCGCGAAGCGCGAATACCTTCGCGCCCTCGAGGCCGCCCTTGTTGAAACACCGCGCTTCCTCTGGACACGTTTTTTCGCCGCAGCGATGGCGACGGCGATCGCGCACCGCGCCCGCAGGCTACAGACACTCTTTCCAGCTTCCCTGTACCCGAGCAGGGGGGGCGCTGCCAGTCGAGCCGAGCGAAGACGAGCGGGCGGGCGAGGGGGGGGCAGCAGATGTCTGCCGCGGAGGCAGTGCAGAGCTGGCGGCGCACTCAGACCATGCAGGACTCCCGCCCTGAGCACCGCGCCAACAGAAACGAGCTGTCGGGGTTCCTTTCCAGTCGGCTACACGCGGGAGCGACCCTGGGCAAGAGTGACCTTTGGTGCGCGGCTTCCTTGGGGGCCGAGGGGGGTAAACACGAGTGCGCCAGACGGTACGATGGCAGCGCGCTCGGCGATCGGGGGACCCCTGTGGGCCCGCACCGAGGGTCACTCTGTCGAAGGGTCACTCTCACGTGTAGTCGATGCAGGGCCGCGCTCTCGATTCGGCCCGGCGCGACGTTTGTGTTCCAGTCTCCCGCCAACCGCAGGAGGAGGCTTGAGGCGTAAGGCTGGAGAGGGTCTGGGAAGGGAGAGGCTTGAGGCGCAAAGGGTGAGGCTGGAGAGAGCCTGGATGATGGAGGGGGAAGGGGAGGAGGAGGAGGATGAGGATGAGGAGGAGGAGGAGGAGGAGGAGGAAGGAGGAGGAAGATAGGAGGAGGAAGGAGGAGGGAGGAAGGAAGGGAGGGAGGGAAGTACTTTTGGTCTCCAGACTCCCTCCAACCGCGAGGACGGGAGCGCGACTCCATCTCTCCAGTCCCCCCTGCGCACCGTGCCGCTTCATAATGGGACAGATTGCTTGCTCTGACCGTTGGCGTGCATCCTGCAGTAGGAGCTCGACCACAAGAAACTTCCCATAAGAAACCCAACCCTGAGACCCCAGGACGTCTACATAATTTTGGTGTGGGAGCGTCACGTTTTCCATCGCAGAACCATCGAAACTCAAGAAACCCAGGGCACCCCGGAGGCAAGCAGGGTGTTTCTTGGCATGGTATACCACGGTAGGTCACCTGACGTCATCTTTGCGCCCTGGC